GACAGCATCAAAGGAACCACACAACCATGAACGATTATATATGACTTTGGTTATGAATACTGGTCTCTCTTGGTGATACGCTCCAAAAGTGGTTGGTAGATCGTGTTGGGAGTGGCTTAGTTGTTTGAAATTGGTTAGCTGTCCTCCATAAACAGTCAGGTGCTAAACAGAAACACCATAGAGCAGAGATGTAATAAAGAGTAACGATATTGCTTGGTTGGAACAAGGTTTCGGTGGACAGCGGCTGCATCTGTCCCAGTTATAGTGATAGCTCATTTGCGCAAAAGATAACACAGAAAGGTGAATGATTGTTAGCGATGTTTCACTGCGCTTGTCTACTGAACGACCCCTGAAAGATCCGACTTCTTCCCAAACCACTGACAGACGACTTGCCTAGTTCAAAATTGAGGGTCTTTGGAACTGAGAGGCAAATTAAGACAAATTCTTGAACAGTGCCACTCCTTCAAACGTCCCACGTTGGGCGTTTTTCCTGATCTGAAAGTTGCTTTCGATTCAATTGATCGTCAGTGTCTGGCGATCAAAGGCATCCCTTGCAAGTTTATAACCCTTATGAGGGCTCAGTATGCGAACTTTTGGACGCGTACGAGCAAACGGCGAGCTTTCTCCTGAGTTCATGTCCAGTAGTGTCAGACAAAGCTACCCTCTCCAACCTTTTCAATTCAACTTCGTTATTGATAGACTGCTTGAAACTTCTCTAATAACAATAATAACCGTTCATCCGTAACACTTTCGGTGCCTAGTTGCCATGCCACTCGAAAGAAGCACGAGGGCTGTGATGATAACAGGTTGCCCAAGCATAGACGGGAGAAGTCGAGATGCAGAGGTTGGGTTCGAACCACGGACCTTCTGATCAGTAAATTCCGCTCTAACCACTGAGCCATCTCGCCACCTTCAGAAACCTCTCCGGTCGTCCTCTCATAGACAATGAGTATGCGAACCATTTGCTCTCTTTAGTTTAGATCCTCAAAAATACAAACCATTTTAAATAACCTAAATAACTGCCGTGCTGTTTTGCATGCGCTTCACACCTGCAAAGTGTAAAGTGCTGCTACAAGATTGAATGGGGCCAAACCCAAACCTCATGCTTGCAGACGAGCCAATCGATGTGGTAGGTAAATTTGTTTGCATGGATAGTTTTATAAAATCCGGTGGATCGGATTGAGAATGCCAAGCCAGCTTATGCCACCCCCAACACCTACGTGAGTTTGTTTGTCAGGAGACGAGCCAATCGACGTGGTAGGTAAATTTATTTGCATGGGTAGTTTTATAAAATCCGGTGGATCGAATCGAGAATGCCAGGCCAGCTTATGCCACCCCCAACACCTGCGTGAGTTTGTTTGTCAGGGGCAGACGGTGTGATCCATACTGCTTTCTGGATTAGAGACGTGGCTCCTACGCGCAAAGGTTGTCTCCCGCACTCTCCCACCTCCCGGTGATCGAAACTGTAGCAGCTAGAGCCGATATGTCTATGGTACATGGTTTATGGCTTGTAAATTGACTTTTGATGGTACATGGTTTATAGCTGGTAAATTGATTTTTGATCATCATCATCATCATAACATTAGTGTACGACACTGATGCCTCACTGCCTTACAACGAGAATTTATTTGACAGCCTTATTGCGATGAAGAGAATGGAAGTGGATATGGGGTAACTTTAGTGCCACAATTATTCCCAGATGCCTACACCTGAAGGCACTCATTCAAGCAATTTGAACAGGAACTGGTAATTGCAACACCACTGATATCGATTTGCAGCCATTTCTTGCTTCTAGGCACTAAGGAAATCATGCGGACCCCACACTAGAGGGTAAGTCTCACCGACAGTACCCGGGCTTTTCGCGATGTCATTCATACCACTCTACCAGGTCAAAGGTTGACCACATGCTTTCGCCATTCTGAATCAAGCACAAAAAGCAGCACCCTCTGGCAAACGATGGTTGGGCATGCAAAGTATAGGGCCTAACCTCCGCAGCTTCTGGTGCTGTATACGTTCTACTGAAGTCCTTGTTGCATAACTGAGCACTCGCCTTCTAAGTAGCTCGTTACGGATTCGCCAGCACCAGCCGACACGAGCTGTGGTTCTGAGACAGCGGTTGTGGATGACTTAAATTCGTCTTTGTTCCGCTGCTTGAACAGGCCGCGCCTCACAGTTATACGGAACGATAGCCCATACTTTAGCCTGATACACACTTTTGAAATTTGGGGTATTTCACTTTGCCGCCATAGATGTCTCAAATTAGTAAACTCGATCCCAGCCTTGGAAGTTCGTGAATCTACGTCATCTGTCACACTACAGTCGGAACTAATACAACTTCTAAGACACAAAACGCTTCACAACTTCTAGTGTCTGTACCTGGGTTGTAAGTGGCGTGTTCAGTGACTGCATGTTCAGGAGAATTACGTTATACTTTATGGGTTCAAGGCGCATACCAAGGGCGGTTAATCGACAAACACCTGCGCTCTTTTCTCCTCTTCTAACAGGAGAGGGATGTTGGCTGCATATTCAGGATCAACAAGGCTAACGTCAGGTTCTATTTGAACTCCAGGTTTTCATACCTTCCAGCGTTTATACTTGGGAGCACAATGAAGCTATGCTCCTGAAGTGCACTTTCTACCAGGCTAGTCAAATTACTCCCAACTTCTAATGTTCGAAAGGTGACCCATGCGTTTTGAGATGCAGGTTCTACTGCTTGGTAGCCCCATTATTAAGGGCGCCTTCGTGACCTTACGCGTTACTTGTTCAGATCGAGTAGGTTTTATGACCTTTTTACGTGCAACACCTTTGTGTTCACGCGAAGCACAACGTAGTAACCTGCTGTCAGTGATCATTGGATGACTGTGCGTTTGGATCTCTGGTTGTCTTAGCGCTGGCTTTCTCAGTCTCTTTTCTTATCTTACCGGTGGCTCCCTGTCAGTGATCATTGGATGACTGTGCGTTCGGATCTCTGGTTGTCTTAGCGCTGGCTCTCTCAGTTTCTTTTCTTATCTTACCGGTTGTTGTCAACGTTTGTTTGGTTCTCAGCCCACATCCCCTAAATGCTGTCCAGTTTCAGATGCTCCAAAGCCTAGTCTGCTCAAGGAACTGCCATTCATTACCCTCATGGCTTTTGTTCCATGAGGCTGTTTTTCTGTAGAATCTCCTGGCTGCTACTAAAGCCCGCACCCATATATACCGATCTGATAAACATGTTGATCACACAACATTTATTTGAACGCAGCTTCCTAGACTCAAACCTATGACGTAAACATTCCGTGGACATAGTAGTGAACTCGCTTGTGTACCGATTTATCGTCTCACGTGCATTGGTTGATTTCCCCCAAAGGGGATGGTTGACCCCTAATGCCAGGTTTTTTCAATACCCCTATATGGTTTCTCTCAGCTTATGTTCAAAACGCACGATGTTCGGAGTCGTTCAGTGTTCATTGTTGTACGCTTTTCATTCAACTAGTACCCATAGTAGAATGCTGTCCCTTTTGTAGGTTAAAACACGTTCATAGGTCAGAACGCGACAGGAAACTGCTCGTCCCTGTCGCATCGTCTTCCTGATTTAATGTGAGGATGTCCAAGCGATAAGGTGCTTCTTACAGCTTATCAGTGCTGGGTGCTCACCAGACCGCTTGTCTGTTCTTCATGGCTGCTTCCCATATAATTTAACTATTTGTTCGCCTGATCCCCTAATTCGCGATAATTGTTTCGATGGCTCCTAGCTACAAGACCTGCCATGACCTACTGATGAGATCGCTAAAGCCGCTTCAAGTTTACCACATATCAGTCGTATTTGCCCTTTTCTGAATGCGATAATTCGGACATGTTCACTCACTTGCTTGTCTCGTGTATTAAACGATCACAGTTTAAACTTCGGCTGTTGATGAAACCTGATAACGAAATTCGAATCTACGGCTTCTCGTTCGGTGTTGTAGACGTTGGATAACATGAGATCCATAAGAAACTACTTCTATGTGTCGTGCTACCGTAGTGGTCCCCTCATTGGAGTTCAATACGGAAAACGAGATTACTGGCCCCCTAGGAGCTTTCCCTTCGGGGGAGGGGGGTATGTTAAGTCGCGGCTGACAAGGAACTTTGTGGGGGAAATAGCCTGCCTTGAGCAAGGCTTGATTTATGCACAAACGTTTGACTGTTCGTTATGCTATATGGTGGATGTCCGTTTTTTCTATACGCGTCACGGAAATTCATTTTCATCATAATTTCTAGCTGGTTGCTGTGATCTAGACAAACGAGTGAATCGGTATACTTAGGAAAACTTTAATGCTCCAGGCGAACCTTTGTTCAATATTTAACAGACGTGTGGTACCTACAGTGAGAACAAAAGTAGAACGTTAGTAAGGTGACGGAGAGTTTAGCGTCAAATAACAAATTTTATCCAGCAGGAAAAAATGTCACTAGAACGCTTTGCTTCGGCGGGCAGAAGTTTTATGCGAAATATGTTACAGTGCAGGTAGAAAAATGAGAGATTGATGTGTGAAAGGGGTGGCATGTTGATAGTAAAATAAATAGAATTGGTTTGTAAATAAGATAATGGTGATAGAGATACCGTTATCAGGCTTTTCTGGAAGATAGATTCTATGGGTGTATTCTTTTTTGTTGTGAACTGCTGCTTGATAGTCTTGGTTCAAGAGAATCAGGGAGAGACTGATCAGGACTGTGATACCCGTCGGTTGGAGTGGTCGCCGAAGGCTCTTGAGCCCAACCATCGAAGCGCTTTCTGAGCCAAGTTGTGGGTTTCCTCGTGTTCACTCGGGGTAGAACGTTCGCAGGAGTGAGAGGTTTCTTGAATGTACCAAATGTGACCAAAAGCTGCAGTTTTTCCCGAGAGCATACAACAGACACGGAATAGTTCGTCAACCTTTAAGTTCTTTTCCGGTTGGTACACAAAGTCGAGGAGATTTTCATCATAATCCACCATATTCCGTCCACAAATAATGAAATTGTCATTGTAGACAAAAGTGTCTGGTCGTTATTCCGTTTATTCGCTGGAAACATACCGCCTCGTTCGTTACTGGAAGTGGGATGCCACGAAATTGATACAAAAACTCACCGGCCTCAAGAGCGGTATGTACAGGTCTTTTATGCGGAATTAAAGGTACACAAGTTTTGCATCCAGAGTGCCGAAAACATCGGGACCATTTGTGCCTCTCACTAACCTAAGGAACCCTAACCCGTGTTATTCTGAATGGCTAGAGATGTGATCAGGTTCGATGAAACTAATAGTCACAGCACTTTAAGGCTAGCCGTACTTATCCAGTAAAGCTTGTGCTTAATAGGTTCCCGGTTGACCTTAAGGTTGAACCGCCTGTCTGGATGTTTTTATTCTTGGAATTACAGAAGTCGTTATCCTTGTTTGTCAGCTCCTGCCCCTGTTTGCACTGTGATTACGTGTGTCCAATAACCGCCTTTAACTTCCACATGACCTGGGTGATAGTACGAACCCAGCTGCTCGCAAATGTATAAGTAGAACAGCTGTACACAGCGTGCCTCAAGTCATGTTTCACTTTCTTTGTGCCACTATCACTTCCATTATGGCGACGTTTGTCGTCAGTATTGTTTCAATTCGTTCCGGTAACGCGTTATTTCGGCTCCATCTTTTCTCTTCCACCAAGATACGTGGACTGCTGTCGTCCACTACAGTCAACGCGCCATACTTGGTTGGTGAAGTAATTGGTAGCTTAACAACGTCAAGTCCGGAACATGCGCCTGTCGGATTCCGTTTCTTTAAGGAATTGCGTTCAGTCATATCAGACCACGCTGGTCATGAATTAGAGGCTGGTCTGTTCAAATCTGTTCATGAAACCACACGTGCGATGCTCACAAACAACGCATTCCAACAAATGATTACCAAGTGCGCCACTGTTACGTCAGCTCCAGCTGTCTCTTCAGTATGCGACGAGGCCGGGGACTTGCCGAAACAAACAGACGATATTACTATCACCAACCGTGCTTTCGGTTTGACAACATTTTTAAATCTCCTCATCACTCGCCTGAATCTGCCAGAATCCCCAGAGGCGTGCGTTTGTACCCCACCGATACTACCGTGTGTTGACTTGTGTCAACTTGTGGAACTCGCGTGTCATGTTCAAGCTGGTCATCCTCGTACACCATCTGCGAATGAACCGGTGATAAGCGAGTTAGATATATTCAATCTCAGAAACTGGACCGGTCTGTTTCATCAGTTGTGTGATAGTTTCTATCAATCTATGATGTTTTTCAACTGTGCTCTGATGGAACTCAACTCCCGTATTAATGACGGTACCTGGAATCACAGTGGAAGCCTGGGAGATCAACATAGTAAGCCTGGCCAGGTAGAAAACGGCTTTGAACATGGCGCACAACTGTCTTGTTCGTTAACCGAACTCCTGCTGCGTATGCGCGGTCTTCTATTAGACGAACAGATACCGCTGAAAGTGACTCGCTCCACTATACTAGACATTCTTCTTTGTGCAAATCAACTCACTGCTTTATCTTTCACAAACTGGCCTGAGGCTAGTTCTGTTGAGTTGGGGTTTAGTGAGTCAGAGGGAGATGAGGTGTATGAGTCCTATCAGAGGTTTCTCGAGGAGACTAAGCAAGTCACATCGTCATAGCATGCTGAATAACTGATGCTAATTCAGGTTGCCTTCCTTATCTTCATGATTTAATTCTCGCATGGCTTCTACACAAGCCTTGTTGACCTGTTGTACATTTCGCGTTTTTGTTTTATTCCAGCCTTGCCACGTGTATCATAATGCTATTGTTTACCGTATTGTTTTACAGTATTCTATCGCATACGTAACGATTCTTGTTAAGGTCGTTGACCGTTGGTGCAATACATGTGTTGTACTCTTAGATTGGTTAACGCCGATTTGATTTTACAGGGTCAAGCATTCCTGTTCAGTCTGGTCGATTCCATCAGGGTGTTGTGTTCGGTTGTCGGGTAACCGATCGTCTATTTTTGAGCTCTGTTCATTGCGTCGTCTAGGATATTAATAACAGAGCGTAATAGAGGAAGAAAATTTACGTTACGCACTGTCGTGTAATTGCAGGAAAGAACAGACCCTAGTATCTGATGAACTTATAAAAAACTGCAGTTAACGTGGCGTGACCACACTTTGAATGCATCCCAATGCTCGTTTAGTTGTTTGGACGTTTGCGGACACCCAAAACTGGGGATTTAAAATGGCGACAATAGAATGAGAGATGGATGATACGCAATCTTTCCAGTCAATGGGTTCTCTTACATTATTTACATCGCACAGAAATTGGCGGTTTTCAGCTAACAGAAAGAATTGGTCACCCATTGAAGTGACATAAAACCTGGTTCTAAGCTTTCGGTCTGAACACACTGTAGCTGGTAAGCCCTAAGCAATTTCCCGGGCAAATGTAATGCTTCTGCCTTATAGTACGCTCCGATTCTGACACAAGATATTCGTGAAAGTAGATGGCCGTTGGAAACTGCGTAGACTTTCTCCACAATGCGTTGTTCGGTGTTCAAACTATTGGTATAGTTATATCTGCTCTCATGTAGCTGCGGGCATCGTACAACAGACGCTGCAGCACATCAAAGTTGCTGGGTACTTGTTCCCCCTGGCTTGCCACTGTGGCACCCGAGGCCTTTTAGAACACCTATTTTGGTCACTGAACTCACGAGCGTATAGACGTACGTACGTTTGACTCACAAGCCACCACCATGTGGCCACTGTTTTCGTAACCTCTTCAAGGCTTCTCTGAAGAAGTGGGGGCACGAGTGAGCTTGCACGTTTTCCATGACTTGTCAACAGGGTCGACGGTTTGGGCAGGCTGTCGGTAAGGTGTGTGCGCTTGGGACGCAGTCCGACAAGCAAACCGCCCATCAACTCAGGCCATCCATTATATAAGACATGTAGGATTGGTCCTCACTTCGGCATGTTGTCAGTGGTGAACCATGTTTTCACCGCTCAAAATTTCGTGAAATCGATGTAAAAAACAAGCACTTCTATCGGGTTCACGTCCTAATTCCAAACAAGTTAGTCCGCCAGTCGTCGATCATCCTACCGCACGTTTAATGTAAACACGATGACAGATAATCAACTTAAGGCAGGTAGAGGTACGCTGTAAATTACCTTCCTGCCTTTCCATCCCGGATTAACATGATTTGTAAGATAGGAGCTGGTGCGGAAAGTCAAAAACGCAGTCACCACGTCCACCAGTCGATCACAGAATTTAACATCTAGTCTTCCGTTAAGTTTAGCGTAGTTAAGTTGAAGTTTTAACGCTGGTCGAGCAAGAGTAATCCTACGATTATGAAGAATCATCAGGTACTGATTTCCTGAACCCTGGTCACCATACTATCGCGTTCAATTTATTACTGACTTCAACCAGAGGACCTGGTCACTGGCATGGGATATGAGGCTTACAGTCACTGCCTAGATTCGTCATCTCATTGTGGGTTTAGACCGCGCATCGCAGAGCACAGTCATGGCATCTCTAGAAAGATGAGTGGCGTACGCAAAAATGGGAAATACCCTAGCTTGTCTGAGCCCACAGGTTTAGGACCCCCCGGAGAATCGCCTCTCAAAAATGAACTCTGTAACGAATGGATTAAGTCTTCTTAAACCATGCCTGGCCTAAAAATCCCACGAGTCTCGAGTGATATTTGAACCTGCGAGCTGTAAAAGAGGAGTGGTGCACTACCTTCCAACCATGTAACTAAGCAATGTGATCACCCCTTATTTATAGGGCTACTCATTTCCAATGGCAGATGTGTTTATTGGGCTAATTTATTCATTTATCAAAACTGCTGTGAGGAACTCGTGTTTCATCTCTACAAGCCCTAGCAAAGCTTGAGCACAGATGGATGTGATAGGGGGCGAGATGGCCCAAGTGGTTAAAGCGCGAATTTACTGACTGGAAGGTCCGCGGTTCGAACCCGACCTCTGCCAATCGACTTCCCCTGTCTATACTTGGGTGACCTGGTAGTATCCCAGCCCTCGTGCAACCTTCGGGTGGCATGGCAGTTAGGCACCGAAAGGGTGCTACAGCTGAACGATAGACTCTACATATGTGTGGTTTCAATTAGGGTTAGCTAATCTGCAACTCCGAACCGAGGCGAGACACAGAACCGTAATTTGAGATGCACTTAGTGGGTGGTAGTTCACCTCTGTCTGAACACGTCCTGACAATACTATCCGGAATGAATTTCTGACAGAAATCATAGTTATGCTCTTGTTTGCTGGATCCGGATCTTTAATGCGGGACATATGCTCTCAGGTCCCTGTTTGACTTCTGGGTTTTGCATAACGCCTTGAATCGGTAACGTCACAGTCACCTGACAATAACCGGTTTCCCGCGGTGTATCTCCGGCGGCACGCGCGGCTGAAGCAAAATCTCCCTGAAAACTTGTGAGATGCACGCCATGTATGGTTACCAGCAAGGTTGAAACCTCTGTACGGCGGCCCTCGGTTTTTCGACGCAGACCGAACGCTTACAGGACGAGAGTTCATTTGAAAGATGCTTTTAGTCGGTAATAACAACCCAGATGTCGAACTTGAAATCAACCGCTCCCGAGCTGGAACTGCGGTTGCCACTGAAAAAAGGCTCAGTCAAGTTCTATACGTCTTTTTTTTCGTACAACGATTGGATTGGTCTTTCTAGTTCATGCTGAAGCCGCCCATCTCCCTACATGATTGGTACAAGTTGCCCCCGCTGCCAAGACTTCCAACCACTTATGTTCGAAGCCCCGCGATATTGTACCAGAGGGCCAGGGAACCACACAAGTTCTGTCCTTTACGCGCCACCATTCACACGGTGTCTGGATTGAGACTCACAATACACTCGATAGATCGATGTCCTGAGCTGAAAAATTAGATGAATATTTGTGTATATCTTCGGTCACTGCAAGCCGACCGTTCTTGCTCATTGTTTGGTTTCCTTCAGCTCTTCGTTGCCCATACATATCGGGCCTTTTCGGTTGGCTGTCAGCTATCCGGCAGTCTCATTTTTCTGTGTCTCTGATGTTGGCCTGCTAGCCCTGATTCTGAGGCTATCTTGTGGCAGTCCTTGGTCCTGCTCTTATTCTGCGGCTTATTCGCACCGTTCTGTTCCTCACAATATTACTTGTAAAAGCTAGGGCCTACGAACTACGCATGCAATCAATTCGCTAGAGGTAACTTCATTTTGCTGCACACCTACGATTGAAGATTGTAGATATGACATCTAAAACAAGTTATTTGGCTGAAAACTATTCCGTGTCAGCAAACCAGGGTCATTCCAAGTCCAAGGGATTATCATAAGCCGGGAGTTGAAGTACTTAACGACGTGGCGAGCCTTGGTTTGTACCACTCATAAGGTTGCTGGAAATCCGTCAACAGCCGACGACCGGTTTCGCCCTTTTTGGGGCTCATCAGGTAGGCGCAGTCCCCGGTTTCCGTCCGTTCCCCTTCGAAGCAACCGCTAAATAAAACGGGCAGACAACATTAGTTGACCCAGTTTCATTGAGTTGCACAGGACTGAACCAAAGGGACAATGAATACACTAAAAATTAAGTTACAATGTTGCTGAAAAGAATTAACAATCATATTAAGCCTTGGTTTCACACCGCTTGCGAGTGGAACAACAGTAGATTGGAACTTATTTGACCCACATTGAGTACTATTCAGCTGACTACTGACGAAATAGTTGTGCGTTCTGCAAGATTTGCAGAATTCCCGTTCCCGTTTGAACGACAGTCTCTGTATGTTTGATTTTGGAACTAATCCGCATTTTTCTGATCAGTTATGTAGCCCGATGACACCAGTGACAGCGAAACACTTGGGGTATTTCAAATAATAACCATGAAACGCTAGAAATCCATCATATTGTGTTGTAGATGACGATAACGAGCGTCGTTAAACCAATGTATGTGATCAGTTAGGATTAAACCGATAAAACCGATCAGGTCGATGCCGCCCGATGCGTTCGAATATGCTAACCAACTTGCTCTGGTGGTTCACATAGGAGAGCTAAGTGATTCAAACCAGGTTCGTCGAGCCCATATAAGAGAAGTGAACAACTGTGCATGCATTCGTGAGGCCGCTTCGGGCATAATGATAGCTAAGATAAAACATCCTCAGAGATCGTTACTCTCGCGAGAGAACTGTTGTGGTTGGTCCGTTGGATTTTTGTTTCATTTGCTAATCTGTTAGGCGTAGTCCCCGAGTTACCGTCAACCTTACGTTCAGTGGGATTCAGTTAGTTCTCCCGTTCATGCCAGATTGGATTGAAAAACAGTCTACTCTGAAAATCACCTGCAATCTGGTTTCAGGTAGAACATAAGGTTCACGAAAACCCGAGAAGTGCACCTACCATGGGCTATCGAAGTTTTGAGCAACTTTGTGAGTAGCTTTTCCTCTGAAAATATACTGCGATATCTCGAATATCATAACAACTGAGACCTGAAGGGGCATCTGTGCAGTGCATATGCATAAACGAGAGATTCAGTTGTCTCCCGTGAAAACCAAATCCATATGCAGATGATTGTATATGTCGAATGTGCCGTTATTACGAGGGTGGACAGTAGCCAACTAGCGACCGATGCAATCAACCCGATTGAACTGTAATCGACGCGGGTAGTTTCTGGGACTATATATGACCTTTGGTTACAAATTACTGGTTCGAAACTCCTTGGAGTTTCGTGAGGTGCGCGCTGCTGATGGTTCCAACTAAGGGTCATACAGCACTAGTGTTTTTCGGTTTTCCAGCATAGATTGGCTTGACATACAGGACGAAATCATAATTGAAAACCAACCGATCTCCTCATATTACCATTAACTGGTAAGTGTTTGGAATCGATCGATAGACTGTCGTTGCAGATGATTTGACAACAAATCAGCCGGCCGTTTACCGAACCTCCCTGAAATGATGCCCTTAATGTCTCTCAAGAATGGAAGAACGCTGTTAGAAGTCAATACATTCAGCAACTGCAAGTCGGTAACACACCAACTGACACAAACAGGAGCATTAATATAAATGTTTTAGAGAATCATTCGCTGGTATCAGAGCATGGTCGAAATTGGGCTTAGCTTTGTCCGGTTGCAAGGACAGGCTGCATGGCGTACCACTGACTCACAAAATGTCAAGCTTATAACCTAACTTCACATTGTTACGGCTTTACCAAATAACTAAAATGGATGAAATGACATGACTAGTGATGGGATCAAACCACTGACGTTCCGATTGGTGGACGAGTGCTCTATCGGCTGACACACCAAGCGGTCTAAGCATCGGTACTGTCGCTGATTCACAAATTAACCACCAAGGTAGTGTTTTCATGAACTCCGTTAAGGATCATAATACCTCCCCATCTACGCCGTGAGCGTATCGGGCAATCCGACTCGACGTATTATTCATCGCTAGACCAGAAGTCAGACTAAGCGCTATTGAGGCCCGATTGAATGGTCGCCTTGGATAAGACACAAAACGCACTGAAAACGAGGATCGCATACTTTAGATGGGCGCCGCTCGCATAGTGTTCCTTTGCAGTACAATTTTCCGGAACAGCGGAAATTGTTTGAAAACGTGGCGCCCACCTACGAACCAGCCCCAAATCCAAATCGACCACATCGCCATAAGTTATCGGTGGCGAGGCTCGATTACCGCCTGCTGCTCCTTCTGGAAGACCAGCGTGGTCTCCGGGCATGCAATTACGCTCCTCCTTTTCAGGTCTAAGCAAACGCACACACCTCGCTTAGCCATTGAGAAGCTAGTGGACCCAGAAATCAAACGAAGCTACCAGAACCAGCTCGTCGAACGCCTGCCAGACGGTCCGATGTCGGATGTAAACGGCCATTCGGAAAACATTCAAAGCGCTACTCAGGATCAGAACTTGTCTGCGGTAAAACCTTGCCGACCTCATCCAAACATAGGATCTCTGATAGGACCGTGTATTTGCTGGAAGCCCGGCGTCAGATTCTCCCCCTGGCCATCTCACTGGGTCGTGTGTACCGGGCTATAGTAAGGGCTGTGATGTTGTATGGGTGCGAGACATGGCCTCTGAAGACAGATGATGTGAGGCGTCTTGAGGTTTTCGACCACTGATGCCTCAGAAGCGTGGCTGGTGTTGGATGGCGTCATCGGACTGGTAACGAGCTGATTAGTAAACGGGGATTATATTGTGAAGCAGCTAGTTCAATCACGGAGAACATCCAGCACCATCGACTGCAGTGGCTCGGTCATGTACTACGCAGGCCGAAGCACCGTCTACAGAGACGAGTAGTGTCCTCTGTGCCTCTCTCGTAATTGCACAAACCGCGAGGTAGACAACGAGTGACTAGGTAGAAGTGCGTGAACAAGATTAAGAGTTTAGTTGTTGTACGCCTACCAGGATTGGGTCCCCGTGACCCCGCCAGTGCTTGGCTGGAGACATTACAGGAAATGGCGGCTGATAGATATCAACGGCGTTCGTGCTGTCAGATTGAGCGCTTGGAGATGCAGGCACCTCAGAATGTTTCATAAAAGCCAGTACTAAGTCCACTCCCTATCTGTTTTCTCTTGTTTACACCCTAAAGCTTTAAATATAATTAGATAGATTTTATGGTAGTACGACAGTGAAGCACCAGTGCCAACACTAATGTTGCTGCCTCTGATGATGATGATGAATGACATACATATTCCATGTACATTTCCGAGTTCTGAACAGTTGGCTATACCTGGGACTAGGGGACCAACACTGGCTGTTGAGTTCTTCGGTGGTCACCCTGAATATTCAAAAAGCGAAAAGGAATCTGGTACTGGGTCATATGGACGCCGAAGATTGAAAAACACGGAGATGATAACCTGAGAAATGTATTTTGGAAACGATTAGGGCTGATAAAATGTGATTGAGAGACTAGTTTCTTATTTTTCGTTCCCCCATCTCTGAGGTCAAGATGAACCGTACCCATCTCACTTAGCTCCATGTGTAAAATCCACGGTAAAGATCAGCAACTCCATCCTGCTGTAGACCCAGGTTCCATTTGTTTTCTGACGTGGGCACTAAAACATAGAGCATGGAATATGGTGCATTATAGTTGAGGGACAATAAGAATAGCTTGTTCATTAAAAGTGATGTTTTCTGAAGTGGAGACATGGCCACGTTTATAATCAGGTTCCGAGTGGCGTAAACTACAGCAGAAATCACGGGCGATTAAAGGATTCATTAATCATTTCGTAACCTTGGAAAAGAAAGCCTTTACACTGCATAACAGGAATTTTCACTGCAATTTGCACACGCAGATGAGAAGGCAATATTAAGTCACGAGAAACAGAACCAAATGATGCAAAAAAAATTGATTTTTTTAACCAAATGATGTACACTTCGCTGAACCACTGTACTTCTTGAAAACTGCGTAAAGTGCAGTGCTCCGCCACACATCAACAGTAAATACCGGTGTTTAACCGCTACACAACTATAAGCAAAGAATGCCATAAGAAAGGATGGAGAGAAATTGTGGACAGTAATAAAAAAATCTTATACCCATGAGGAGAAAAGCCCAAAAAAGTGCTTGCGCAACTGGCCAAATGCAATGATTTGCAAACTAAGTTAGTGTTAACAGAAGACTCGACCGAAGCTCTCGTCTGCCAGTTCAGCTTTTCAGCTACAAAACATGCACCGAATTACGTTTCGTCTACCGAGGATAAAAGCGAATAAGAGAATGGTAGTCACGCGTTCGAGGTCGCCTCATGCTTTGGCTGACATGATGTTCGAGATATCGCGTTGTACTTTCTCTACATACCACACCACCTAGCGGTCTTATGAGTAGGTGCTTACACCTACGAGATAAACCCATCTGGAAATTACAGCGGAGTTAGATGCCGTAAATTGATCTAACCCTAACCTAAGTCAGCAGGAGCTTACCATAGAACGCAGGATTGTATGACTGCCCATGGATTGCCGGAGTGCCGTTCCTACTGGGTTGATCTAACCCTAACCTAAGTCAGCAGGAGCTTACCATAGAACGCAGGATTGTATGACTGCCCATGGATTGCCGGAGTGCCGTGTCCTACTGGGTTTCTAACCACGTGGACTGCAACTAGGAAGGCAAGGAAATTCCACGGCAACCCCCGAGTGCAGCCACATTCATTCCTCTTCATGGTCTGTCTTAGTCGAGCTTTTCGCCAGAGTGGGTTCGGAATGGGAAAAAATGCCGCATGCTTTAGTGGACGATGGCCGGGGATGCGCAGTACACTTTCGAATTATCTTAGCTCGGTAAGCCTTATTTGATGGTTTAGGGGTTCCCATTCATCGCGAATTGCTCTTTTACGCATCACTTCGTTGGGTGCATGCTACATCCGGCTAATTTCAGCAACGCCACGAAGGCACCATTAGAGGTCTTCAAATCAGAGGGACGAGTTAGTTACACGTTAGTTACACAGTTGTACACACAGCACCCCAGCTTCGGTGACATTCGTTTTCGATGACAAGGGATGTAAGTTGGTATGTGTAGTTCGAGTTCTACTAATGTGTACTTTGACTTCATCCCACACTGAAAAAACCGGGACAGATGCATAAACCGATCAACAGTCTCAAGTCTTGACGATCAAAAAACGTATGTCGACATTCAAAATAAACTGAACCGAATGGTGAGCGTCGAATAAAATCGTACCGTCCTCACTATCCAAACTCAGTAACCTTTCGCCAGGTGACATTTCTCTTCTTAGATCTCCGTCTTTTGGAATGCGCATTCCATGACTGCATCGATGACATCATTGGACAAAAAGGTTGATTTTAACTACTAAACACATGTTCTGCTGGGTCCTGTGTTACAGACTATCTGAAATAGCTTCCGTGCAATCACAGCTGCACGAGATCCTTACACTTCTTGAAATTCTTGGTTCAACCATAACCCTTGCCCATACAGAAAGCAATCTAACCGATCGTCAAGCCGCATTGTGCTCTAAGTCCAATGAGATACAACATCTCTTATAAGGAGGGACAGCGACTGTTTTGAAGTTACATGGTCCCAGCGTACGCGCTCAGAAACATCAGAGGCAGATGTTCCGGCTTCAGGTGTAGCTTGGGTTATCCCACCTCAGTAGTGATCTTCCAGAGTGACTATCTGTAAACCAAACCGTAATGTTTAGTCTTATACAGGAGATTAAACCAAGACCTACATAGTTACCACCCTCTGTAGAAGGTGCAGAACCTCCTGAATGTATTATAAACTTAATCTCGATCTGGATCCCACATTCGAATGTGAAAAATGCAGCAAACGTCTAATGATGAAGTATCTAAATACCCACTAGAGTAGATTGTTCGAAGGTTGGCTTGAGTTCGCAGGTTAAAGGCTGTGATAGTGACAGGAGAGTGAAGTATAAATGGCGAACATAAAGCTGCAGATTTGGGTGGTGGCTGGCAAACAGTTACTCTCCTGGGCGCCTAGTTGATGATCATAGCTGGGATCTACACAAGAGTGAGTCTCGAGTGGTAGAGAATGGGGGTTAAGAGATAACAAGGAAGGAAATATGGGAGGTGTCAGCAGTCGCATTTTTTCGCTTATCCGATCTGCTGTATGTCTCGTGGTCGACGTGAAATGAGGGTACTTTTATTAGTGGGCTTAGACACTGCTAGGGCACCCAAACCTAAACAGGAGACAACTGAGGTCCTTAAAAGCCTAGCCGCTAGGCAGCGGCCGTCCACGGGATATTATTTAGGTAGTCCAAAGGAACGAATTGCCACATATCTTCCAACTTCCCACCTGGAGCGCCATGAGACTGTTTGCCTGACTCTTATCCAATGGTCAACCTGGTAGAATGGGTGTCAACGCTGCATCGCCACCTTCTAACATGGCTTCTGACATGGATTACCGAGGTCCGCAAGATGTCACACCATGATAACGTCCAATGTCTTCGTGAAAGAGTGGCTGGTTCGTGAATGCTGAGATTCTCTGATTCGCAATCAGCTGGAGAATAACACTGACTTAATCAAATTCAGAGGGGTTTGATAAACAATCGGTGAATTTATTGCTGGGCAACGTTTCGCTTTTGACACAAAAGCTTCGTCGGGCCAATTGAGTAAGTAAGTAGGTTGATTGGGTTTTAAGGCAGTCAGGGAACTAACCCGTGAGATTTCTTATGACTAGCCGACTTGATCAATGCTGGGTGTTCAGTCTGATGTTCCTGTTTGTTGGTTAGTGGGGATGACTAAACTTTACGATAGATTGGTTTGGGGGGGTTCGTCTTTATGATGAACCCGGATTTTTTCGTCCCTGCTTCTTCATTCTAGGACACCTTAATGGAAAATTCCTCTTGGGGTCGTTCACAGATTTTCTTTCACCTGTGTTCGTCCAAGGGTGCTGGGACAATTAGTTTGGGGATGGGGGTGGGGTGGTTAATTGGATCTAACGCTACTTGGATTTTTGTACTTTTTGACCCAGGCGATGTCGCTGATAACTGCACACCGCCTCCTATCATCTCGGCTAATCTAAGAGCGCTCTCCACACGTTTGCAAGTTCTACCCCCTCTGTTCTATTTACGCTGGGACGCTTGGCGATTTCCACCGCCTAGGTCACTCGTCGCTGTGGTGTGAATCTTAAACCCCGTCTCGGGATGTCCACGTTTTCTAAATCTATCCTATGCCCAGTGTCTAGTGCATGACCTCCCTTGCCGAATCTTTGACTATCGCCTAGTATTCATCTACGTTTCTCGGTGGTCTATTGATGGAACACTTACGATCACCAATTCTGGTGTGTAATTCCCTGGTTGACCTACATAAACCTTCGTACAGTCGTTACATTTTATTTTGTATACACAGTTCCTAGTCCTATCAGCTGGAAGACGATCCTTCAAATGCACTAACACCGAGCTCGAGTGCACGTATTCGCCCACCAAGTGGCACGGTATGCAGCTGAGATTAGGCAAGCAAGGTAATCGCCAGTCCACAGAATTACAGAACAGCACTTATACAGTATTTACCTACTGCCTGTCCTAGAATAAACCAGAAATTTGTGTACTGGAGCGTTAGACTGAGCCATCATGCAGGCAGCTTGTATGTCAGCCATCAATGTATCGTGCTGAAGCATCGACAATATTTAAGCTTTGCGCCAGATACACACATCCGAACGCTCTGTTCGGTGGACTACCATCAAAAGGGATAAGGGGCTTAGCCACACTGTCGAGCATTGTATGCTCAGCGACGTCCGTTTCCCAGTTGATCCGTGCGACCGGTCCCCGGAAACCACCTGTGAGTGAAGGCATCAAACATCAGAATGGAACGACCATCTCGAGCTGAATACTTTGAACAACAAATGTCTCGGCCACCAGCCGGTACTCATCTACGGCCCAGAGGTGAAGTAGAACCCTGGATGGTGAACGTGGAACCACCGGCGGCCTCGGAGGTTTACGACTGCATATGTTCTCTCAAGCGCCACCGAGCTCCCGGTCCGGATGACCTTCCACCCGCACTGTTCAAAGACGGCGGTGAAGTCCTCAGTCAGCGCTTGTCCGATTTGTTTGCTTGCATTTGGAAAACGGAGTCTGTCCCAGACAACTGGGGAGAATCGGTGATAGTGCCCATTTTCAAAAAAGGGGCGCGTAGTGAGTGTGGTAACCACAGGGGGATCAGCTTCACCCCGGTTCTAACGAGACTGTTGGCGTCAATTGTGCTTCGTCGCCTTACGGTGGCTCGTGAGATACTGACCCGAGAGCAGCAAGCGGGATTCCGGCCTGGTAGGGGTTGTGTTGACCAAATCTTCACACTGCGTCAGGTGCTAGAAAAAGGCCATACGTATAAGCGACCCACAATTCTAGTATTCTTGGATTTCCGAGGCGCATTCGACTCGGT